CTACACTGCTATAACAAAAAGACGCCAAAAGGCAATGGCTCAAACAAGGTAAGTGCCTATTTTTCTCTCGTGAAGCAGTCCATAGGGAAAAGGGTAAATTAGGGTGAAGAGGAATCATAAGATCATCAGGTCAAAAAAGGACCCAGGTTCCTTCTCTCTTGTTACTCTCCACCCATCCTACAGTCTTGTGGTCAAAACTGGCTACTCATCATACTCTGTGTTCTAGCCCATTAAAAGGGGGCCAATAAACCTACAAGAAAGCCTACCAGTTGACAAGCTCCATACATACAATTATCTTCTCACAGTTTCTATGGGCCAAGAATCTGGGCTAACAAACATGTGAGCTTAGAAGAAGAACCTTTCCCCATCAAGATTCGGATGAGAATCTAGCCCTGGTTAACTCCTTCACTGCAGCGAGAGACCCTGAACCAAAGGACCCCCTTAAACTGTGCTCAGATTAATGACCCACAGACACTGTGAGGTGAGAAATGTATGTTGTTTTAAGCTACTAAGTCTGAGCTAATTTGATATGCATCAAATAGATAACTAGTCCAACATCTCAACTTTTGTTATTTAAATTATCAGTACTTGACAAAATGAAATCTTTTAGTTGTACATTAAAGGCAAATATACAATTTAAAAGTATAAGGCTCATATATATTTTGACAATCTTTTGGATTTAATACCATCAGTGAAATAGTAAATATTAGGCTTTTTATACTCAATCCTAATTCCTATTATCTGGAATGATCTGCTCAAAAACTTTACCCACATTGTTAGTAATACCGTAGTCCTGCAGCTTTTCTTTCTTTCTTTCCTTTTTTTTTTTTTTGAGAGACAGTGTGAGCCCATGAGTGAGTGGGGGTGAGGAGGAGCGAGAGGGAGAGGAGCTCCTACTGTGGAGCGCGATGTAGGGCTTGATACCACAACCCTGTCAGGCACCTTTACAAACCAGGCTATAAAATGCAATTTTCTTACAGATATAATGTTACTAATGCCATGAGTACTCTCAGGGGAAGTATGAACCACATAATATCACAATGGAAAATGTTTTTAGACTATAGAAAGAATAAAAAATTTGAAGGTTTTCCTTCTAAAGAAATTGTTACCTAAGAAAAACAGGTAACTTGTGGCAGAAAAAACAGTATTAATGCTTACTGTTTGTTTTTATGTTTGCTTAAATGCTAATAAATATATACTGCAGATGAATGAAACGGAATGCCTCAAATGGCCTGGGAGGTACAGATATCTAGACTAAACGTGAAGGTAACCTCAGGCACAGGTCCCATGTCTGGGCCCTTTTATGCATTCATTTAATTAACATTTAACTTTTTTTAAAAAAGATTTTATTTATTTATTTGACAGTCAGAGATTACAAGTAGGCAGAGAGGCAGGCAGAGAGTGGGAGGGAAGCAGGCTCCCCGCTGAGCAGAGAGCCCCATGCGGGGCTCGATCCCAGGACCCTGAGATCATGACCTGAGCCAAAGGCAGAGGCTGAACCCACTGAGCCACCCAAGTGCCCCAACATTTAACTTTTTTTAAGAGATGATTTATTTGATCTTTATTTACTTGAGAGAAAGAGAGAGTGCGCACATGAGCAGGGAGAGGGGCAGAGAGAGAGGGAGCAGTAGACTTCCCGCTGAGCAGGGAGACCTATATGGGTTATGACCTGAGCCAAAGACAGATGCTTAACCAAGTGAGCCACCCAGGTGCCCCAACATTTAACATTTTTATGTATTAACAATAATTAGATGTAAGACAGCAGAAAAGAAATCCCATTGCGATGTAACAAAAACTCAAAATACCCATGAATTATCTTAATAAATTAATGTATAAAACCATATGTAAGAAACCATAAAATTTTGATAAAGAATATAAAAGAATATCAGAATAAATGTTTTGGGGATGTGAAGACTCAACATTATTAAAATAATTTACTTCATGTTAATTAGCAAGTTTAACATAATTTTTATAAAAATTCCAGTAACTTTTTCAGAAGTGCTTGATAAATTGATCGTTAAGTTTATCTGGAAGATGAGTAAGACCACAATTTTGGGAAAAAATAAAAAAGGTGGGATGGCTTGCCTTGACATATACAAAAAACATATGATAAAAATAAAGTAATTGAAAATGTATGTGAAGTCAAGACGTTCAGAGATGCTATGGGTTGAACTGTGTCTTCCAAAAAGATATGTTCAATTTCTAATCCCAGTACCTGTGAATGTGATCTTTTTTGAACACAGGGTCTTTGTGGATTCAATAATATTAAGATAAAGTCATACTGGATTAAGGTGGGCCCTAATCCAATGACTGGCATCCTTATGGGAAGAAGGAATTTGGACATGGAGACACATAGGGAAAATGCTATGTGACAATGGAAGTTAAGAATGGAGTGATAGGGCTAAGGAATCCCAAGAACTACTGGCAGTCACCAGAAGCTGGAAAAAGCAAGGAAAGATCCCCTCTCAGAGCCTTCAAAGAGCATTGCTCTGTTGACACATAGATTCTAGTGTCCTCCCGACTGCCTGGGTGGCTCAGTGGGTTAAAGCCTCTGCCTTCGGCTTGGGTCATGGTCCCAGGGTCCTGGGATTGAGCCCCACATCGGCCTCTCTGCTCTGCAGGGAGCCTGCTTCCTCCTCTTTCTCTGCCTGCCTCTCTGCCTACTTGTGATCTCTGTCAAATAAATAAATAAAATCTTAAAAAAAATTTTTTTTATTATTTTAAGCCACCCAGTTTGTGGTATTTTATTAGGGAAGCCCTAGAAATCCAATACAAGGAGAATACAGCAATTTATATATGGTAAAAGAGAAATCTCAAATAAGTTGAATGGTTTTATTTGTTCAGTGAGTAAGGGATTAGGACAATAGGGTATTTGGAAAAAGTCAGAGTTCTATGTCATAATGTGTACTACAATTCCAAATAGACCACAGATCTAAATGTTAAACACAAAACCAGAGAGGTGGTAGATGAAAAGATAAGGGATTATTTTTATAACCTTGGTGCAGGGAAAGATCTTCTTTTTAAAAATTTTTATTAAAATATAATGTATTATCAGCCCAGGGGTACAGGTCTGTGAAAGGGAAAGATCTTCTTACCAAAATACAAAACCCAGAAGCCAGATATGATAATTTAAAAATGAAAACTTCTGTCTACATACAACGAAAGACAACATAATCAATGTTAAAAAACAGGGAGAAAATATTTGCAAGATACAGTAAAGACGTGGAGTAAATATCCAGAATATATATGATCACATAGACCATAAGGAGATAATCAACCAAAACCACAAAAGGCCAATAATACATGGATATGCAACTTCAGTAATAATCAAATGAGATGCAAAGTGAAATGAGAAAGTATTATTTATTTAGAGTGGCTCAAATGAAAAATAATTTCTAATAATACCCAGTGTTGAGTAGGGTATGGTTGAACAGGTACTCTCATACAGTAATATTTTTACAACCCTTTTGGTTTAGACAGCAATTTGGCAATGTCTACTGAGATTTATTTATTTTTTAAAAAAATATTTACTTAAGTAATCTCTATACCCAATGTGGGGCTTGAACTCATGATCTCGAGATTAAGAGTTGCATGCTCTTCTGACTGAGCCAGGCGGGCGCTCCAATGTCTATTGAGATTTAAATGTTCATATCCTTTGTTCTAGCACATCCTTCTCTAAGACTATATCCTACTGAAACACAAGTTCACAAAAATAAATAGGGGGAAAATTCCATTAAGTGTAGGACATGCATAAAATACAGAGCATCATGCAACAGGGGTGCCTGGATGGCTCAGTTGGTTAAGTGTCCGACTCTTGGTTTTGGCTCAGATCATGACCTCAGGGTCCTGAGATGGAGCCCCATGCTCAGCATGGAGTCTGCTGGTCCCTCTCCCTCTGCTCCTCCCCACTACCTTCACTGCTCTCTCTCAAATAAATAAAATCTCAAAAAAATAGAATATCATGCAACAATTTAAAAAAGAAGATCTAGGGACGCCTGGGTGGCTCAGTTGGTTGGATGACTGCCTTCGGCTCAGGTCATGATCCCGGAGTCCCGGGATCGAGTCCCGCATCAGGCTCCCAGCTCCATGGGGAGTCTGCTTCTCCCTCTGACCTTCTCCTTGCTCATGCTCTCTCTCACTGTCTCTCTCTCAAATAAATAAATAAAATCTTAATTAAAAAAAAAGATCTACATGTATTATGATAAAAAGATGTTCCAGGCTTAGTAAGTGAAAAGAGCAAGTTGGAAAATATATATATTTTATAAATATCAGTAATAACTATCTTATGTACAGAAAAAAATGAAGATACTAACTGCGCTGGTAACAATGGTTTCTTAAAGGTAGGAACATTTATTAATTCATTTATGTAATATTTAATGAGTGTTTATTATGTGCCAGTCACTGGTCTAGGTCCTGGGGACTTAAAAGGGAATAAAAAAACAAGATGAGGAAATGGTGACCATTCATCTTCTATGTTAAATAGTTCTATAAAGTATCACACCTTTATATTTTTGTCTCTAAGAAAGCAAAGTTTAGTTTCATTTAAAAAAAAGATTTAAGGGGGCACCTGGGTGGCTCAGTTCATTAAGGATAGGTCTTTGGCTCAGATCATGATCCCAGGGTTCTGGGATTGAGCCCCTAATGGGGCTACCTGCTCAGTAGGGAATCTGCTTGTCCCTCTCCCTCCCCACCCCGCACTTGTGTTCTCTCTCAAATAAGTCAATGGAGTCTTAAAAAAATAAGCTTTAAGGTACCAATGGAAAACTTTTAACAATATAAAGCAATTTGTTTTGTCATTCTTTTAAAATCAGTCTTATTAAACAGTTTTTAAAAATGGCACTAGCATATTCAAGACTATATTTTGGTAAAATTAATGTGAATGCATCAACAAGTTTCTAATACCATAAGATCATTACTTTGCTTGGTTGAAAAATAAGAATCCTTAAACTATATGGTATCTGATTTATGTATAATCCCTTATGATACAATATTTTACTTACAGTTTGTGGATTAATCTCCTCCTCTCCCATAGGTTCATCCATAATTTGCTGTCCATTCTGTGAAAAGCATAGCAAGTAGAAAGTTACCAACACAGATCTCAGATCAGTTAAAGTTAAATGAAGGCAGACAAAACAAAATCACATAGGAATATTTTTACCCCTACAGGGTTCTAATGAAGTACCAAACCACCATATAAGTATGTAGTTGCCAGTATGCAACAGGTTGTGCTTTAAAAGTTAACTATAAAAACATTTTCCATGAAAATGATATAATAAATGATGATTACCTTTCCAGGTGAGCCCTTGAGGTTATTTTAATAGTTAAATGCATTACAAATGGTGTCATTCAAACCTCACTGAACATCATTTATAATACTTTCCTTGGCAGAAGATACTCTAAATTCCAACTCCATTGATTACTCAGGACAACTGATTATTCTGGGGGGAAAGTAAGCTAGATTTCTATATTAAAATCGATCCCAGGTGTATAAAACATTTAAATGTCAAAAACAAAATTATATAAATATTAGAAGAAAATATAGGTAAATAATACTTATGGGGTAAGGAGGGTGGAAATCATAAAGGAAAAAAATGACATTTGAATTGATAGAAGTTTAAAATGTCATCTGTCAGACACGAAAAAGATAAGACAAATTGATTACAAAAAAAGCAACATATGACAAAGGGTTGGTATTCTCAATACATAAAGAACTTTGTTTTACAAACCTGTAAGAAAAAATGATGAACCTCAACAGAAATGAGCAATAAGGAAAGAAAGAGTTCAGCCTTAGTACTAATCGAATAAATGCATTTAACCGAAAGATAACTTTGCCTTTCAAACTGGTAATGATTAACAGAAAAAATAACACCCAGCACCAATATGAGTATGGGGAAAAGAGCACTCAGGATATACTGCTGGAGAAAGTATAAATCAGCACAACCTTTCAGGAAGGTAATCTAAGTCTGTATTAAAACAAGTGTGCAAAGATGTACATACAAGAATGCTCACCATAACTTTTTCCAAAAAGAACTCCAAATTGGAAACCTAAATTCTTAACAATAGAGAACTAGTTAAATATATGATGGTACGTCCATATAATGGAATACTATACAGTCATTAAAAATGATAATAAAGACGTAAATTTATTGACATGGAAAGACAGTCACATGTAATAAGTGAAAAAGCAGTTTACAAAAAATATGGATTGTAATGATCCCATTTTAAATAAATATATACATATTTCAATGTATATATTTGCATGGGAAAAACTCTGGAAGGATATACACCAAAATGTTAACAGTGGCTATTTCTGGGTGGTAGAATTTTAGACAATTTAAAATATGTTTGTTTTTGCATATTTGAATTTTCTAATGTGTCTACAATGGATATTTGTGCAATTAGTAACAAAACAAAACAAAACCAGAAGTCAGGAACATAGGGTCTTCCCTAGTTACTTCAATGGAAAAAGGTGTAAATGCCCCTGATCACTTGTCAATTCAACAAATGTAGAAGGATCTAAGCTAACCATCTTTGGAGCACTATCAATTGAGAAATAAAAGGCAGCCCACCCATTACCCTACATCCCACATGAGGCAGATGCTCTGAATTTGAACTCTCTCTACTCTCCAAATCCTTATTTATCCATCCATTCATCCACCCACTTCTTTCATTCATGCTATGTTCTAGGCACCAAGCTGTACATGAATGGTTAATAAAACATGGCCCCCAACCTAGAGATCTATCCTAGAGGATCTTACAGATCCACTGACTTATAAAAAGAGTACCTTTCATTTTCAAACACTCAAAGAGTATGTTCCTAGGTTAGGGAATGCCTATACAATATTACAAAGCACAAAAATGGTGCTAAAATGCAGGTATAAAATCTTTATTATCCTAAGACACTTTCAGAGGCTATAGTATTGCCCACTTCTACGGTAAGGACTCAGATAACTCCAGGAGACATCTTTCTCCCAAAAGCCACAACCATTTAATTCAATTGAACTGATCATTTTTCTCCAAACATCACAGACAAACCTTAAAGTAGCTCTTAAGAACACTAGCTTTGGAGTCAGACACCTAGACTGAAATTTCTTCTCTTAAACTAAGTATGAAGCCTTGGACAAGTTATTCAAACTAAGCTGCAGTTTCTTCATATGAGAAGTAGAGATGAAAAAAGTCTCATCTTCAGAGAGTTGTGGTAAAGACTAAGTGAGATAAGTGATGTAGAACTCTAATCACAGTGCCTGACGCTTAATACGAACAACCAATGGTAGCCATTTTAATTATACCCAAAATTCAGTCACCCCATTTATGGCTCACCAATCTTCTACTTCTATACTTGCTATCTTAGTGAATGGTACCATCATTCATCCAGTAGCACAAACTGTTTTTCTCATTAATTGTACAGAGTTCTCTTTCTATAACAAAGATCTGCTAAATGGCTCCCAATTATTTAACTTTTAGAACCCTTCATCTAACTGAGCTACAATTACACTTTCCATGGGAGTATAATTTGATAACCATCTGCTCCTTGCAATTTTCAATGCAACAAAGCAAGAATTAGGACCTATAACTTACTTTTAAGGCCAACTGTTATAGTAGAAACAACACTAAACTTGGAATGGTAGACAAGGGATAGAGTCCTAGATTTGCCACTTAGAAGCTTTATTATTCTGGGCAATTCAGACTGTCTCCTAGCCTATTATCTTATCTGTTCACAATGATGATAATTGCCCTGTTCACCTAAAGGGTTAATGTTAGACTCAAAACTGAGATAACTTATAAGAAAGTACTTTATAAACCATAAAGTGCTATACCAATACAAATTATTATTACTAAGGTGAGGTAGCTTCATGAGGATAAAATACTCCATAAAGTCTTTTTAATCTGAGAATCAAAACATTTATGATTGGTAAGGGATCTTAAAAGTCTTTTGTTCCAAGTAAACATCATATGCTTCGATTCTTTCTTTGCCATTCTCACCTAGATTTGAACACTATCAGGACAAGAATGTACTACCTTACCAGGCAGCCTAGATAAAATTCTTCATTATAATTTTCCTTAGCTACAAACTCCCTTTAATAAGATTACTGATACATGACTAACTTGCCTGTATTATATCTGCAAAATAACAGGAAGTAAATCTACACCTATGACTGTAAAACATCCTGAGTCTGTTTTTTACTAGGCAACTCAAGTTCCTTTAAACATTCCTTTCAGACAGATGAGACCACCTTCTTTTCTGAGCATGCACCCAATTCATCTTAAAGGGTCGTATACAGAACTACATTCAATTAATATTCCAGCCTTGATACGACCAATGCAGAGTAAAGAGCGTATCACCTCCCTTGTCCTAGATAATAAACTTATACTAATGCAGTTCACATATGCATCGTTTTTGAAATGCCCAAAACACACTGCTGAGGCATACAAAATTTTCTATTGGTTAAATCCTAGTCTTCTTTATACTGCAACTAAGCCCTGTGTACTTGTTGGTACACTTAGTCTCATGAATAAAGCCTTAAATTTTAACTTTCTGACTCATCTCTTTCTAGTTCTGATCCTCTATAGGATTGCTACAGCCTCTATGAAAAGGATTCTGAATCTGCTAATCAGCCTCTTTGCTATTTCTATCTTCATGTAATCCACAAATCTTGTATTTCTTTTCTAAACAATTCACCCAGCCAATTAACAGTAATATACTAACAAAGCCATCTGAAAAAAAAAATGAAGTGAAACATGATCTAAAGGTAGTTTATGCTCTTGTCTTTTGCAAAAATATCTACTTCCTTTCTGAGTTTAGGAAATATTGAAAATTTTGGACAATTTAAGGAAACTATAAAAGCCAACATTATCCTACATATTGGTGAGGCTTTAAAAAAATCTACTTTAAAAAGCACTTTTACCTCAACAATCCTTTTGTATTGTTTCATCAAAACAATGATTCAAATATTACCTGTTAGAAATTAGCATAATCACTCATGCAGCTAGTAAGTTTCCTTTTTGAAAAATGACCCTGAGCTTCACTAGAGATTAGGTTACATGGGCCATTAGTCTGACTCAATATGCAATTTCTATAGTTTCTAAAGTTCAAGGAACAGTACCTATTAAACAAGAAAACTTACTTCTTTAACTTAAAGAAACAGAAAAAAACATGTGATCTGCATGTCACTAGTATCAGGTTTAAACCCCAGCTCTGTTACTTACTGCTATAGTTACCTGGCCTTGGGTAAGTTACTCAACATTTTGAGCCTCAGTCTCTTCATCTGTAAGATGCATATAATATCTACTTCACAGGGATGTTGTACTTAAATGGACCTACCAAGGGATACCAGATGCTCAGTAAATACTACTTTCTGTCCCCTCTCTTTTGCCTGAATTGTGTAATATACACATTTCTACAGTTAACTTCTAAAGACATAATGCAATAAAGAAGTACAGGAGAGTGCTGAGATACTTGTTCTGCTACTTAATACAGCCAATTGCCCACCACGCAGGGTGAAAGAGATCATTCATAAGTGTAGTATATTTTTATACAATGTGGCCAAAGAATGAGTACAGACAAAAAAGAATAGTTTAAAAGTGAGGCAAATGTATTTATCCTCTCTCATCCCACCATTATGCCTTCCAGCCAAAAAACTGCAGAGCTTGGCAGATTGTACATATGCAAATATTATGTGAAATACTGGAAAAGGTTAGGAAATGCTAATCATGCTTTACTCTCTTAGTCTGAAATGTGTAAAAGTCAAAAATAAGAATAACGTACAATATGGATCTCATCAGAACAAATCAGACAAAGGAGACTGTTAGCTTGCATTTCAGCAGGAATTGTTTTCAAAATAACGTCTAAGGTTCTGGTATGAGATTATCACTAAAATCATCTTTCTGGTTTAAAAAGGATGAACAATTCAAACCAGTAATTCTGAAACAAGATTTCATGATTTCTAGAGTATTTGCAAGTATTTTAAGGGAAATTCTCAAATGTTAAAAATAAGACTATTTTACTAAATAAAAATTTCATTTTAAGCAACTTTATTTAACAGATTGTTTTGTTGTA